GGACCTGGAAATGGCAATGAAAATGAAAAGCCTCATGCTCAAACTTCGAGAACTTCAATCGTCAGTCAAGTGTGTTGCTCCTATCCACGTTTCCAAAAAAGCAAAAGCAGCATCAGGAGCATCAGCAACAACAGAGGAACGGGAAAGGTTGATGAGAATGAGAATGAGAATGATAGCGATTCGAATAACAAAATACACACACACACACACAGAGAGAGAGAGAGAGAGAGAGAGAGAGAGAGAGAGAGAGAGAGAGAGAGAGAGAGAGAGAGAGAGAGAGAGAGNAGAGAGAGAGAGAGAGAGAGAGAGAGAGAGAGAGAGAGAGAGAGAGAGATTTGTCGACTGAGAATTGATGCAAATAACAAACCTCCTGACATGCGTACACGAGTCCAACGCCCTGAGAGCACACATGCTTGTACACCACCCTTCTTCCTCACTCTGTTCACGTAAGGGCTACCACTACCACTGTGCATTGAGAATTGATGAGAATAACACTTTCATTGAACGGTCGGTTGCATTTGACACTCCATTGGAATGTTGCATCTGACCGCGAGTAGACAAAGAGTCCGACCCCAGAGCACAAGTGCTGGTACTACACCACTCTGCTTCCTTCAAGTTACTGCATTCAGTGCATTGTATCGCTCAAAACGACGTAGTGTGATTCGTGTCATTGAAGTTTTTTCTCACTTGGCTCACTAAAACATCATTCAAAACGTATTAAATTGTCTCTCCTTTGTCCATCCCGAAAAGAGTTTAATTACCGTCGACATGTGCGACCGGCATGGTCGCCACAAGGCCTCTGAGACTTTCAGATGCTCCATCAGATGGCAGATCAAGCACACGTTTTTCCTTCCATACAAAGAAAGTGGACCAGGTACAACGGTGATTCAAACCACAAGACCAGATACTTCCGATCCTCTTTTTTTCCGGAGGCTCAAAATGCGCGGCATGCCAAACAGATACATATCACCGGCGTGGGACTGGTTTGGCTGGCACCGTCAGCCATTTTATTCCAGCAGCCCGACCCCTGAAAGTTGGGGCCGGGAAGCATGCTGGTGGCTTAAACCTTTTTTTTTTTTTTTTCCAAAAACACACTTTTTTCCCAAAAACACCCCCACCAGTGTTAGTGCTGCTGGTAAGAGCAGACACCACTAACACCTGGGGAAAGGCTCCATCTATTAGTGGGGAGCGTCACCTGCTGGAAAACGGGTCCAGCGTCCCTTGAAAGAAAACATCTTGAGAAGGTGAAAAACAGTGTGAGGGTGAGGTCTGCCAGCATTGATTAAACCACTAGTACATCTGGAGAAGAAATTCGAATTGACCTCTCCGAGAAGTTAGGGGAGTGTCGGGACAGGGCCCGCCTGAGGGCAGGCAGAATTTTTCTTTTGTTCAACCACTAGTACCTCCTCCAGTGTTAAAAAAAAAAAAAAAAAAAAAAAAAAAGAAGTACCTCCGCCAGTGTTGGGAAAATAGGAAAAAGTGGACGGACGTTTTGCCAAACTCCTAAAATTTCGAAGGCCGGGTCCGACGACAGTTGCCATTCTGCTCCAGACTCCAGAGGTCGAGCCTCGAAAGTTGCGGCTGTGCCTGGGCACTGCATATTCTATTCTTTGGTTGGGGAACGTACTGGTGTTTCTTTTTTTTTTTTTTTTTTTTTCTAGGCTGGGCTGTGCCCGACCAGGCATGCCCCGCCCAGCTGGGCGGGTGAGGATCGCCCGCCGGCAAAACCAGGCGGGTCAAAAAAGATGGAAGTTTCTCCAAAAAAAAAAACTGACTACAGGCCAGGACTGCGCTCGGCCCAAGGAGTCAGAATCCGGCCTTACCTTCCATTTCGGTGGTGGGTCACCCAGGAGTGTTTGGGGGGTATAAACTTATAAAGTTACTCTTTTTTTTATTTTTTTTTATTTTTTTTATTTTTATGAAAGGCAACCCGAGTAAATGCTAGGGGTGCTGATAAGAGCAGACACCACTAGCACGCTCGGGGAGGCTCCATCTATTGGTGGGGAGCAACACCTGCTGGAAATCGGGTCCAGCGTCCCTCAACAATTATGAATGGTATGAAGTTACTCTCAACTTAAAAGGTCATATCTTACCTCATTTCTCCTCATCTATTTTTTTTATCTTAAAATTAATTAAGGAATTTGGAGGGGACCCTCAGCCAAAAGTTGCTTGTACTGCAATTTTATACAACATAATTTTTTTTTCCAGATCTTTTTGAATTTTTTAAAATTTCTTTTTTTTTAATACTGTGCGCTGGGGCTGCCCGGGACCCTGCCCGGCCACTGACCGGCTCGGGCTGCCCGGGAGGGTACCCAGGGGACCTTCCCCCAGCCGGGCCGCCTGGGGACAAGCTTAGTTTTTCTTTTTCTTGTTTTCCGTTTTTTGTTTACTGTTGGTGGTCTTAACCACCCGTACCTTTCCCATTAATTGGCCACAGGAAAAAAATAGAGTTGAAGGGTTTCTACTTGGATGAATTTCGGCACTCCTGTAGCTGCCTGTTCTTTCATCATTCTCGCGGCTTGTTGACCGCCGCGACTTTCTGAGGCACCGGTGGTTTAGCTGCTGCTCAGGGGTACTCATGCCATCCCTCGAACATTATGGTTTGGGTGCTGGGCAGCACATCATACTTTGTGCCACCCCTCGACCATTACAGTGGGCAGACTGGGTGCCGGGCAGCACATCCGCACCCAAAGATGCCAGAAATAAGTGAGGGACGGCTAAAGATTTTCCCACTGCTCTGGTGTTATTACTCAACGGCCTCAAAGGCTCAAAGTGGTACCCGGTCCTTGAACATGACTGAAAAATCTTAAGCTGCAAAGGAGGTCTGTCCACCAAACAGCAATATGATCACCCATTTCACTGTTTCACATGACATGATTGGTGAAGTTCTCTTAGAGTGAGGGGGAGAGAGTCACAGCGAAGGCACGGGGGCTAGGCCCCCTTTTCCTCCCTATTTGAGTGCTCACCCTCCTGCTCAGTCGATCCCCTGTCTTAAGGGTAATCAATGCTGCCAGGCCGGAAAACAGCCAGAAACAACTCAGCGCGATTGAAATGGTTTTCCAGGCGCCCAGCAGCAGGGCTGAAGAGGCCCCGTTTTCCTCCCTATTTGAGTGCTCACCCTCTTGCTCAGTCGATCCCCTGTCGTGCTACGGTAGGTCCCTTGGGAACGAACAGGACCTTGGGTTCTACTGCCAAGGCTTTGAGCCTTGGATCTGTAGTTTAGCACGCTGTCTGTTTTTTTGCTCTGGCTGACCTTTTTGAGTGCTGTTTGTCCTATATATAGTCTGTTTGACACATCGTTTGGCACTCGATCTCGTGACGACCCCTGATGATTCCGGAACCGGCTCCGGATGAAACGCGTAGGGTCTGGCCGGAGTGTTGACCCTGTTTTGTTCGACATGGACATGACGTCTACTTTCGGGTTCAACTTGATTGGCGGGTTTGATTCTAATTTTAAGATGCCATCTGTTGCGTTCCGGAGACATCGATGTGTCGATTCACCTCCTCTTCTCTTCTCTTCTTTTCTCTTCTTCTTCTCTTCTCTTCTCCCTTTTACTGTGTGCATGGATGTTTCGCTTTGTCAACGGTCGTCATGTATGTATGTTTAGGCCTTGTGGCCGGTACGAAGGACTGATGTAGGCTGTGTGCCGGTATGGCCTGCTCCCACGAATGGTTGTGACTAATGGATGGTTTTGCGAGTATCACACTCTCACACCTGTCTTAAGGGTAATCAACGCTGGCAGGCCGGAAAACAGCCAGAAACAACTCAGCGCGATTGAAATGGTTTTTGTGCAAGGGATGCTGGACCCCATTTCCAGCAGGTGTTGCTCCCCACCAATAGATCGAGCCTCCCCCGGGGAGATAGAGGTGTCTGCTCGTCCCAGCGCCCCTATCTCCCATACGGGCAGTTGTTTGTCAGGAAAAAAAGATTAAAAAATCTGCTCGTACCAGCGCCGCTATCTCCCGTACGGGCAGTTGTTTGTAAGGGGAAAAAAAAAGAAAAAAAAAAGGTCGATAACTGTGTAGAGGATTCACTACTATCCAATCAGAACTCCTTTATGTCTGCACTCATGTGGCCATACATTCTTGGGAACGACCATGATGATGATGACGCTGATTGAAAGTCACTCGCTACTATTCATTAACCCGGGCGCTACTATACAAGCCTCTGTAACTCTCAATATGCTTGTATAACAAATCACATGCAGCGACAACTTGTGGAACTAAACTGACATAAATTTGAATGTGTGCCTAATGCACGTGCATGTGTGTGCAAGTGTGTATGTGCTGTCTTCGCATGTTCACTATACACAACTCTGCAAAAAAAAATAAAAGAATACATTACGGTGTGGCAGTGTGTGCATGTGCGTGTGTGTGTGTGTGTGTGTGTGTGTGTGTGTGTGTGTGTGTGTGTGTGTGTGTGTGTGTGTCAGTGTGTGGATGTGTGTGTGTGTGTGTGTGTGTGTGTGTGTGAGAGAGAGAGAGAGAGAGAGAGAGAGAGAGAGAGAGAGAGAGAGAGAGAGAGAGAGAACTCTTATACACATCTAGATGTGTATAAGAGACAGGTCTACAACAACCTCAAACTTCAAACTGGGTCAGAGTCGGCCAGGCATTTGTTAAGGAGAATGCAATATGGGGATCCTGCCCAGTTACTTAGGAAATTGCATTTCTGCCTCATCAACCCCTATAAATTTAGCCTATAATAATCCTGTACAGCTAATAAACAAATCCTGCAAACTTCAGAAAAAAAAAAAAAAAAAAAAAAAAAAAAAAAAAAAAAAAAAAAAAAGCCCTTCAGACTGCAAGCAAAACCGGACTCAAATGAGTAGCCTCGAACCAAGGGGAGTCCCGCGGCATGAGGGTCCTCATGGAAACAGAGGAGAGTAAAGTGTTTCACAACTGAAGTGACACGATAACCAGTCAGTCAGAGGAAAGAGGACCACCACGCCTCCTCTTTGGAGGTAACAGTGAACCCCCAGATTTGATCTCATTACCTATAGTAGATCTTATGTTTCCTGTCACTTCCTCTCTGTACACGGAGCTGATCACTGAAAGACAATGAGGGTATTGCTGAGACAAAGGGGGGTCGGATGGGGGGAGCGAGCGTAGCCCAGGCCCCAGGGCAAAATCAGCAAAAGAATAAACAAGACGAAGACAAAGATGAAATCAAGCAAACCACAGAAATGCAAACAACAAACACTCGCCGAAACAAATCAGAGGAGGCGCTGTAGAAGAACATAGTGACGTATGAGATGTGTGATTTATCTATCATCCTCTCGATCATTGGGAAGTGCGAAGGGATGCTGAAAAACAAAAAGAGTGGCAGTGAGGCCAACTCAAAAGGCAGCAGAAAGATGGCAGGCAGACCAAAGAAAAAAGGATAATGGCAGCGAAGGAAAAGACGCCAAAACTCAATCCATTAGACTAAGCCGCGAACACACACATATGCAAGCCCGTGCACACACACACTGCTGCTCACGTGCCCCCGCGCACACGCACACTGCTGCGCACGCGCCCCCGCACGCGCGCGCACGAGAGAGAGAGACAGAGACACAGAGAGAGAGAGAGAGAGAGAGAGAGAGAGAGAGAGAGAGAGAGAGAGAGAGAGAGAGAGAGAGAGAGAGAGACCCTTTGGGAGAAGAGCCTGTAAAATGGAAGCAAGTGCAATGGAAACTTCTGTATCATTCAGCCACCCTAGGACAACCTTTGTTCCTTTACTCTGAGGCAACTAAAGGTGTTTGGTTGCACTGACGTGCATTCCTGCAAGAGACTGGTAATACACCTGATATGAGCTGATATACAGTTGCCATGCCTATGTCCGGTATGCCGATGCCGCCCATGATCGAAGTCGTCCTGCTCGCGGGCCCCTGCTTTGGTGTCCGTGTCACTTCTTTACCTCACCGAGTTGACATAACCCCCCCAGGACCAGAAGAACAGGCGTACTGTTCCGGTCACAAACCCCCGAAGCAAAGAATGAGCTGACTTGACGGATGCCTGTCAGGGAAGAACGGCATCGACCAAAAGCGCCGAGTTCAAAAGAGCGGTCATCCAACCTTCACATGAATGCAACAGACCCCACGTTCGCGATGCCCAAGGTAATGCAATGGGCCGAGAACAAATTCGGCAATGCTTCTGCAGCAGAGCATGTGAGGGCTTGGGACGAGGTTGTAGATGTCATCCTTCTCCTCGTATGGGGGCGCATATGCATGGAGCTCCTCAGGCATATGCCAAACACTGCAGGAGTCGCATCCCAAAGCCCCACCCTCGGTGGGGCATTGCCTGAGAGAGAAAACACAGCACGTGAAGGCCCCTCCTGAAGGACCTGGCGTAAGACGCAGAGTAATTTACATTCCGACTGCTCAATACTTCCCCTCACCCCTCCCTCTCTCCCTTAATCCTTCCCTCTGTGTGCTTGCTTGCTTCCTTGAGTGCTCCTGTCGTAACTCCCCCCTCGGCCTTTCTGTGGGATCGACAACATTTATTGATAACAGGAAAGCGGCTGGATGCCATGTGAGATTAACGTCATCAACCTAATAGAATTGTCAACTAACATCAGTTCTTCCCTTCTTGTCCCGTGCATCGTATCGAAAAAGAAATCGCACCACTTTCACCAATCTTTGAAAAATACTCCCGCCACTCCCATCTGTTGCACATCCAAGTCTACGCGAGTGCTGCCCATGGATGCACGTGTGCGCACACACATAACACACACCAGCCCCATCCGTTGCACGTCGAAGTGCCCAAGGATGCACGTGTGCGCACACACATAACACACGCCAGTCCCATCCGTTGCACGTGTCGAAGTCTACGCGAGTGCTGCCCAGGGATGCACGTGTGCGCACACACACAACACACACGTACACACGCAGAGCAACATCCACATCCACCCAGCAATCTGCTTAGGCACTCTGCTACACATACACAGACTTTTTTATTAGGAGGATGTATCTGTGAAGTAATGAGGCACAAACAGGCAGGCAAAAGTGTGACACAACACGAGAGTGAAGAACTCTGGTGGTCTTCCCATCCACCTGATCGTTCAATTTGCCCAGCCCAGACAGCTCTCGCAATTTTTCATCACCCAGTGAAACACCAGCAGCAGCAGCAGCAGCAGCAGGAGGCAATGATTGGTCGACAGACGACAGGAGGTGGAATTTGGGAGGACGAAAAGGCCTTGGCAGTGTTGGCACCCATTCGTACGCCTTGGGAGCAAGAGAGGTGGGACCAACCACCTTGCAGCTGACTGTAACACCTTGCACTCGTCCTTTGGACAGCTTGTCCACCTCCTGTGTAGCTCACCTGCTAGCGCTCTCAGCTTGCGCTTGCATGCAAATTTACACCGACTGCTCTACACACTGCCATCATGCCGTAGACTAGTACCACCCTAGTTTGCACAAAACTCTTCAAGAAGATGACGACGACTTCTTTATTCATATTGGGCTTTGCCCTTGGGAGCTGCGCACGTGGCTGCTTATCTGCGTGAAGACCATGGTGACAACATCCATGTGTCCAGGCAGTGAGGCATCGTGCTGATGCCCAAAGCTCAGGCCATGGTTCCTTTCACCCCCAGCCCCTGGGAGCATATTAAGACCCTTCATTGCCCTTCCAGCAGTTCGACTTTGGCCTTTAAGAGTTGGTGTGGGACTTCAATTCACAACACAAGCGTTGGAAACATACTAACGTTCCCTTCCACCCTTATGCATCTCCCTGAGTCCCCGCACTTCCCGTCCTTTCTCTCCTCGTCTTTTCTCGCCCCGTCCTCCTCTCCGTCCTTGGGAACCGTTAAGAGGCTTCTTACCACAGACTGCACCATTGACAATACTGTACTGGTAGCCCAGTTTCCCCGTTGTCAGCACACATGGGTAGGGCAGTACATATATATATATATATGTCTGCCAACGTCGTACGGTCGGAGGTGAGAGCATCCTTCCTCCACACGCACAAAGTTAACCTTTCAAATGAGAGCCACCCTCCCTACAGACAGACAGAAAGACAGACAGATAGGGTTAAACCTTTTCTCCCTCCTGCACTTGGCACTCATGGGCATGAGGGATGATGCATGAGACTCTACCTCAGAAGTCCAACTGTGCTGTGCATAGATGGCTAGGGGACATGGGCAGGAGGCATGCATGAGAGACTGTCTACCTGCGAAGTCCAACTGTGCTATGCATAGATAGATGGCTAGGGGACATGTTCGCTATGAGCTCGGTCTAACATGTTTGCCGCAATGCAATTTCTGCAACCTGCCTAGGCTTCGGCAAGGATCGACGGCACATAGTGCGCGAGCTGTTTCGAGAGATTCTTGAACCCAAGAACGAGCTGCGAGTGAAACTCTTGGTCCTCGTCCCCGATCAGCTGTGCATGCAGCTTAATTGCTCGTCGACAGACCCCCATGAAGTCCACTAGCGCAGCGGTAAGTTTCTGTATTTCCCGCTCTGAAAACCTCGACCCGGTCTTATAAAATGCCATGCACACGCCAAGGATCCCGCTGTTCACCTGCACTGCAACACTCCCTTGGAGCAACCGCTGCAAAGAGCTCAGTCGAGCCTCCGGGGTTGCCGAGTTGCTTGCCTCTAATTCCGAGATGAGCGACTGCGTCCTCGCCATGATCATATCAGTGGCATTCTCTGCAGGTGAGAACTCCTTTGACTCGGAATTTAAGACCATCAGACGGTTTACGACGGATGGAAAAGAGCCTTCCGTGATAAGTACCGTTCGGCGCTTCCATTGATCTTCCAGGCCCCCTTGCGTCTTGCCATTCTTTGTGAAAGGAGTATCGAAAATAAACCGAGAGAAGGCCAGCCGTCTCAGCGAGTACGCTGCTCGCGCCGCCGCTACTCCCCCAGCACCGACTCCTCCCACCGACAGGCCCACAGTGGAAATCGCTGCGGGACCATTGCAGGAGTCCTCATCATTGTCAGGAAGCGGTTCCACGGATGTAATCTGCAGGTACGCCATTCCTGCCTGGAGATCCTTGGGGTCTACCGTGCGAGAGTCGGGGAAGACATTAAGATTGTGACCGCCAATCTTGGGTTCATAGATTCTGGTCAACTTCTCAACCACATCCCCCAATCGCACATCGCGAGGCTCTCTGTATACAAACTCTTTCATATCAAGCCGACCAAACTGCCGCCCATAAAACCCGACCCTGTAGTAATTGGCATCACGAACAGGTATAGGACAACTCTCTTGCTCCACGATCGAGTCGTAAACTGTCGACAACGTGAGGTGACATTTTGCAAGCTGTCCATAGGCATGTCGACACTTCTGTACCGGGATCAGGAGCTCAAGAAGGTCCGCACAGAAGTGAAAGAGCTCTGCCTTGGCAAAAAACTTGTTCGCCATCTGGATATATTTCACGGCCGTGTCCACTGTCAGCTTGCTCGAACCGTAACCCTCGATTTCTGCCGTGATTCGACCGAGCTCTGCCGACAACATTGGGCAGATTCGTCGCAGAACCTCGACATGCTCGTTTCCCCAGACGGATCTCCCGACCAACGCTTGCAAGATGACGCCAGCAACACAAACTGCACACTGAGCGGCCTCGGCCCACGACTGGTGCTCCTGATGCGACTCGCACAGGTGCAGTAGCCACATGATATGAAGATCCGGCACATGGGAATAGGCCCATGCAAGGCTACAGTAGCTTTCAGCCACCGAGTACTTGTCTGGAACAAGACTTGCCACCTGGCAAAATGTACAAAACCGGCCAAAAAAAGACAACAGCATGCTCAGCATCATACATCTCCAATGAAATAAATTATCAACACAAGGGAACTCCCACATCCTCGAGAGAATTTCCAAATCCAGGGGGTGCAGGTTGAGCAAGACATCACAGCACACAGTTTACAATCAAAAGGCCCAGCTGCGAGGAAGAGATCAAAATGACAGACACACTATATCATCTAGGGCAGGCTGGAAACCAATATCTTTTTTTCAGAAATTTCAATGTTTTCCTTTTTTTTGGTTGTTTTGTTTTGCTGGAAACCAATATCAATCTAATCCCGGAACAGAGGTATCGTCTATAGGGGACACTAGACCGAGGCCAATGTAAAACAAACTCTTCAGGAGGGTTTGGCTGATGCTGCAATCAATAACACCTGATGAGCATACTCACAGCTGGAGGACTTTGTGTTGGACTGAACCCGGTGATGATCAGCCTGAGATACGCTGAGGCAAGTACCAGTGCGACTGTGTCTACGTGCCTCTCACTCCACTCCACAACACTCTGTATGTCTTTCGACCTTGTAAATGTCCTGATACTGTCGGCGATACATTCAAAACGTTGGACTCCTCCGAATGCACCCGGTCCCGGAAGGCGTCCAGATGCATGTAGACTGTCGAGTAGTGGAGCGAGGCCACATCCCACACAAGGCAAGGTGCAAAACCCGCGTTATGCAGACAACAGGGACAGTAGCAGCTCGAAGTCGAATGGTGGAAACAATTTTTTTTTGCCATGTCAAACAGTGCCCACAGGGTAAAGAGGAAGCAACAAAATCTGAGGGATTGAGTGCACAACATGCTGGAGAGCTGTGTGAGCTCTCTCTGCGTTGACCCCTTTCTAGTGAATAATTAACTGCTCACCTCTCGCGAATGATCAATGGATGCATCCAGTATGTTGAGGAGCATGTTTCGCAGGTGCTGCACTTCGCCCCAATCCCATCGGTTATCAAGCATGTCAAGGACGTCGTCCCCCCCCTGGTATCCTCGCTTCAGGCAGGCACGGAGGGAGTCTGGAGGAAGACCGCATTCAGCAAGGAGAGCCTTACTGCTTTCTTCTGAGCCGAGCTGCTCTATCGAGTGACGGAGCTGTCGAGCTTGCCACGTCTCCTCCATCGCTCCATTATCCCAAGCCTTCAAGACCCGTACGTCCGACATCAGTTCGGATAGTGTGATCGTCAGCATCACCTTCATCCGCGCGATGTTCTCATAGACCAGAAAAGAATTCTGCAGATCCACAAAGCACACGAAAACAAACACCACGAAAGAGGAGGGTCAGACTGCACAGTGCATACAAGTTTTCACTCAAGGACAGCATGGATTGCAACCAGCGAATGGTTGCGCCGCCTGCTAAAGTAGGGAAATGAATGAGAGGATGGCAATAGCAGGAGGGCATGGGATGGGATAGTCGAGGGTGGTGGCACTGGTGGGACTGTGTGACGTGAACATTGGGGTGTTTTTTAGCTGCACGTAGCAGACGCTGTAGGGAGTCGGTTCCATTAACCTCTTCGTCATAGAGTATCACGATCCTTGTGTGTCACCCATACTTGCGGCGCACGTCGTGCGCGGGACTTGCGCACGTGCGGCGCAGGCCGCAGCGCGCGAGTGGCGCCCGCACGACGCACGGCGCATGGTCGAAATTGCAGGGTACCAATTTTTTTTTTTTTTGTCGGTTCGGTTTTCGGGGTTCGGGGGGGTCCTAGGAAAATTACGAAAATGGGCGCGAAATTTTTTTTGGAGGCCGTGCGAAGGCCCGTACTTCTTTTTTTTTTTTGAACAGTCTGAACCTGATTCGAAGTCTGGGGGGGGGAAGTTAGTTCTTTAATTTTAGTTGTTGGACTGTCCCCCCAGCCCGCCGTTTTTCCTGGATTTTTTTTTTAATAAAAAGAAAAAAATGTAAGGGAAGAAAATCAGAATTTCTTTGCATGAGTGTCGCCCGGCGCGTCCAACCTGTCAGAACCTCAACGGTAAGTGCAGTCTGTATGATAGGGTTCTTGCAGGCCAGATTCAGTCATGATGAGGGTCGCGATCTTTCAAAACGATCTCTTCTTATTACTTCTGAAGTAAAAAACAACGGAACTGACAGCCGGTTTTCCTGGAATTTGTTTTTTTAATAAAAAGAAAAAAACGTAAAGGAAGAACATCAGAAATTCTTTGCACGAGTGAAGCCCGGAACCTCAACAGTAATGTTCACCAACGGGCTCGCTGCACAACTCTCGACATGCACAACAAGACAAAAATATTGGCGGTGTATCTTTCCATATTCTAGCGCAAGATTCACTCTCGTTTTGCACATTTMCAGAGTAGTGCAGCGAGGCCCATATATGGCAATGTATCTTTCCATGTTCAAGCGGAAGATTCAGTCTCATTTGTTCAGAGATTCTCCAAAAAAAAAAAAAAAACGTTCCAGAGATACGTTACGTGCTTACCTGATTCATCGGCCCTTCGCTCTCCACCACCCAACGTATGAATGAATCTTCCACCAGAACATGGAAAGATACACCGCCATATTTTTCGTCCTTTGTGCATGTCGCCCCGCTTCCGGATTCATGTTGCCCGTTGATAAGGGCGGTTTCTTCGGTCCGATAGTGTCAGCACACGGTCAGAACATGGAAAGATACACCGCCCGTATACACACACACACACACACACACACACACACACGCCGAAAAGAGGCATGGCTCAAAAAAAAAAAGAAAAAAGAAGAGGCATGGCGCACAGTGCGCACCTCGCAGGGGTAGCACGTCCCCATGCGCTGCGCGCACGGCGCACCTCGTGCGCACTTTCGCGCACGTGCGCGCGCAGTGTCACCGCGCGCAATCCGTATGGCGCAGCGCACAGCATCGCGCACCGCATAAATGCGCCGCAAGTATGGTGTCACCCCATAGCTGGCAGCAGTTTGTCACACAGTCCCACCACCCTCGATTATCCCATCCCATGCCCTCCTGCATTTTCCATCCTCTCTTTAATGTTATAATAATAATAATAATAATAATAATAATAATGGGTACCTTTCATGGTGCGCAATTAAAGATGGAAGTCTGATTTCAACAACCAGGTACACCTCATTCCTTCCCTACAGAACTGCCCCCCATACTGACATCTCTGCACATAGCAGAAGCTGTAGGGATCGGTTCCGTTGACCCCTTCGTCATAAAGTTTCACGATCCTTGTGTCAACATGCTCTCATTGCCACACAGATTGCCACACATTGCCTGCCACACATTGCGACACATTGCCGCATAGCTTCAGGATTGTACTTATAATCGACAAGGCATTTCTTCAGCTCCTGATGTGAAGTGCAATTCACAAACTCCTCCTCGTGAGGTTTCTCCTGACATGTTTTATAGCCAAAGCGAGAAAAACGACAAAACGAAAAAATACTCACCCTTAGTAATATGTACCACCCCACCACTGCCCTCTTTCTGAGGGAATCGTTTCTGAAAGCACATAAGCGCATCAAATGAAATGCGACTTCTTTGAGGAAACGATCGTTGGAATTCCCCAGCAGAACTTCGGCGTGCCGATCCATTATCACAGCGAAGATCGGAATGAAGACCCTCCAGAAGTCAAGGGACTGAGCCTTGGTGAGCAAAGCCGTTAGGGTCGAGCTGATGCACTCCAGCTTCCCATAGTCCGTGGTCACAGATCGGCGGCTAACTGCAGCAGAGAAGATTTCCAGCAGCTCCAGTGTTTGAAGACTGACAGCGACACACAGGTTGCCCTCCCAGACCGACTGCAAAACGGAGACGAAAGAGAATAGGCGTACAAATCACAGTGCATGCCCAAACACACAGCACAAGAGCACAGCCATTCAGACACAAGTACCGTCTTCTGGACAGTCCACTTTAATATCATAATAATAATCATCAAGAATCACCCAAAGGGAAATAAGAGACGTGTCCGTATATATGAGTTTGATGAACACATAGCCTCCTTCTGTCAAGGGGAAGTCTATGTTCACGAGTTGAACATATAGCTTCTGAAAAAAAAAAAAAAAAAAAAAAAAAAGGCCTCTGTCGAGCGGATTGGCCATGGCCACCGTGCTGCGCTGCGTCCAGCAGCATTGTAACCAAGCGCCCATGCATGCAATCATTGCAATGTCTTTGTCCCGTGCCTGCTCCAGTGTGCGCTCAAGCAGCGCTCACGCAGCGCTCACGCAGCAGCGACAGGGCAGAATGTGTCTGGACTGCAGGAAGGCACTTTCCTTCATGGAAAGTGATCAGTCGCATGGGCCTCGCCTGGCTCCAGGCCTGAGACCCAGCAGCTGTGCCCCTGAACCCAGTACCTGCACGCAGGCCCTTCCAGAATGCGCCCTGGGCCCGGTCGGTTGCAGAGTGCACTACCCAACATGGCTGCTTCTTTTTCATTGCCCGAAAGCCCTCAGGCCACATCATGCCTCTTGTCCCCCGTTCCTGCTCACACAGCCTCCCACACGAGGGTCCTTGTGGACGTAGCTAACTGGCGCGGGGCTCAGGGCTTGTCGACCGACGAACACCCAAAAAATAGGGCCCCCGAATATTCTGGCCAGCCTTCCTTCACTTAAGGCGGCCACCATATGGGCTTTGGGGCTTTGCCGGTGGGCCTATGATCCTTGCAGCCTGGTTAGACCGCCACTACCTTTCCCGTTGTTGGGAAAAGTGGGAATATAGCCTACACGAAATTCTTCGGGGCCCCAGCCAAAATCAGGCCGCCGCTGGTTAATTTCATCGGCGGCCTACTTTTCGTTTCCCACCTTCGAGACTTGCGGGTACCGGCCCGCTGCCAACACCTTGGAAAGTAGTGGTCCTTTTTTTTTTCCTTTCCCACTCATATGCATCACACTACCTATCGTAATATGTAAGTCCTGTTCTGCAATTGATTGCGGATATGCGTCAACTCTCCTTAATAATTCCCAGCCTCTGCTCTATGCGGGGAGCAGTACCGCAATTCCTACCACCCGGCGAGAGCTAGAAAGGGCGAGAGCCAGACCCTCCCACAACCAGCCAGGAGACCCAAGTCCTTTAAAACTTGAAATAAAGTTTAATAAACTGATCGAGAGTTCACGGAACAATGCTAAGGCCTAACCCCTTCTTCTCTAGAAAAGTGGACATAAACCGTAGGACTTCAAAGGCAAGCTAGTCACATCACACAAGTGTACACTATTTCGCACAGCATCGCCACTTAACGCACATGTACGAACTCTACAGTACATGGATACGAACTCTGCAGTACACGTGAAGATAGCCATCGCTGTAGAGTGAGGAGAGAGGTGAGATGTTGATCAGTTCATTGTTTCCTTACAATTAATTTCCACACAACATGAAAATCTCCAACAAGGTTCCTGATTACTGGGTGTAATGGGGACTGTGACCATAACATTGAATGGGTGAGGCCAAAACATTTGAAGATGGCTAGAGGGGGGGGGGGGGGGGGGGGGGGGCAGTCCGGCGTACCATCTCCTGACGCAGGCTTGGCTGAAGTGCTTCGCGAAGAACCCGTGAGGCCTCCTTCTTGCTCAACGAAATCTGACTTATCGATTCCCTGATACTCAACCGTGAGAAACTTTGTGAAGGACTCCTCTGTGGACTTGCCCTCGCAGAAAAGCCCCCCTCGATTACAAACTAACAGAATAAAAACGAAAAAGGAAAAAGACAGGACAGTACACAGCCAAGGTCAGCTTTGAAGCATAAGTTGCATAACAGACCAGCACTACCTTCAGAATACATTCACCACACACACACACACACACACACACACACACACACACACACACACAGAGAGAGAGAGAGAGAGAGAGANGAGAGAGAGAGAGAGAGAGAGAGAGAGAGAGAGAGAGAGAGAGAGAGAGAGAGAGAGAGAGAGAGAGTTCAAAAGACGTGCAGAAGGGGGATGCAAGCCTGACCGCACCTTATTATCTTGCCGGGCTGCATCAGCAAAGTAGTGATTGGTGGAAGGTGCCAGCTTCTCTGTGTACTTCGGGGAACCGGATGCATCATCGTCAGGGGTTGCTGGTGGTGGTGCAGAACCTGGCGTAACCAGCTTTTGCTGCAATCAGCAAACAAAAGAAAAAGAATAAGGGGTCTTATAAGACTCTTATTAAATCCTCAGAAGAAAGGCTGAGGACCTATGTAGACCTGGGAGCTAACGTTGGAGTCAGAGCCTACGTTGGTAATGAGAACTAATCACCTTTGCTGCTGGCACGGACTTCGCCACCACAGAATTCCCATGCAATCTCTGAGACCAAAGATCCTGTCCATTCTATCTGTCAGGAGTTGGCGAATCTGGACAGTTCATGAATCTGGACATGCAATTCACAACTAGAAACCAGCCACAAAGGTTGGTGGATCTGGACTCGCACAATCCACAACTGGAACCCAGACACCAAGTTTCCAAGATGGTGGAACCTTGTATCACATACTGATTTTCAGGGACAAATTGAGCGTCAAACTCAGGACGTTAGACTTTTCCTTTTGATAGGCCCTTCAGCACCCAGAAGCAGCACTCTCATTCCTCGGCAATCCCTTTGGATATGAATGTATTATTACCAAATCTTGAAATCTATTAATAATTTAATACCAAATCTCAACACCCCGCTAACAACACCTTTACAACTCCAGTTGGGGATGGCACAAGTTAAACACTAGACAAACACTAGACAAACACTAGACTTCCACCCTAGACAAACACTAGACAAACACTAGACAAACACTAGACTTCCACCCTGCTAGGGCGAACTAAGGCCCGCTGATAGTAACGCATGGGGGCTGGATGTTCGTCCAGTATGGAGCTCCGCAACAGGACCGCGCGCATTGGACAAAAAGGTTTCACCACTGGTGAGCCCAAAATCACCACTGGGATTTTGCAACAGGCCGCCTACTCGACGAAAAGGTTGCAGCGCAGAGTCTTTTCCCCTTTACAATGCCTCACTCCAGGGACAGCCCCCAACTCCAGAGCAAATTGCAGACGCTAAGTGTTTTTGCCACTTGTTCTGGGTTACCATGGTGCGATGCTTACTGCATCAGAGAGCAACCCATGCTGTGAGAGCCATGTGTAAAATGATGCCAGTGCCTCTCTGGACGCTCCCATGACTACAGCCATCACCATCTCTAAAGCTATCTTAATAATCCCATGCGCAACACTGGGCCCCAGCATGACCCTGGGCACAAGTTCGACAGCCATTAAGGACTCAGGAACGACAACGACGTGATGTTGATCTGCAAACCATCTACTGAATTACCGCTGTCTTTGACGGGGCTCGTTCGCCTTCCGTTACAAGCAGGTGTCGATTGGCTGTTCTGTCATCAACAATACGACTACAAGCAACGGTTCCGCAATCGGACGATACTCAGACCAGAACAACTTCAACTGAGCTCTGGACGGAAGTCAGGTACGTCCAGGTCAACGTGGAATTCCAGTCAGACAGGTCCAGGACATGTATCTCCCGGAAAGCTCTAGTGGAGTGCACCCTCCGAGCGTTGTTTTCCCCTTCAGCGTGTTTCCGCTACTTCCCGTGCTGTATAAAGAGCGGTAAAATGAAGAGTGAAATTATTAATATTTGTGCAATTTCTGTCACAAGTTTGACATACCTCAAAGAAAGTGAGGCATTCCTCCATGAATTTAAAGAAAAGTCGCGTTCTTGCTTCACTTTGCTGCCATAACTTCACCACCGTCTCCAGATCGAGGTTCCTCAGTATCGAGAGCACACAGATGAGCATTTCCCTTTTCTCCGATGGATGAAGATTGAAATAGATAGACACTTCATCGAAGATCTGCAGAGCAGAAAAACATACAGACATGTGATCAGCAACCTCACTCTTACCAACTGACCTAGCTCAGTTGGTACACCCCTGAACTGTTGAAATACAGACCTACCTGACTTCAAACTCCACAAGAAGCAGATGAGCAAAGCACCACTACATCACACATCGGCCCGCGGGTGTCAGCACAAAACCCGCACCACTTCGGAGGCCGCCAATTTTTTTTACAACGGCGGGCCTGGCCACGTGGCCCCTCCAAGTTTTGCTTGTGGCGACAAAAACTTTCTGCAAGGGCACAATGATCAGTTTGATGATGATATCTGAAGGCTGTAGCCGTTTCAAAGGGAAAAAAAGAACCTCTTTTACTTCTCTTTGACTAAATCCGTGGCCCCTGTGTGTGACCGGGTTAAGCAGCAGTGGTGGGTGGGTCACGTGCCGTTGAAACTGAGTTGCGTGGATTGCAGTCTCCTTTTCTTTTTCTGTGTGGTGTGTGTGGTTTTGACATCACACCCTTTCTCTTATACACATCTAGATGTGTATAAGAGACAGTCTGTGTGGTGTGTGTGCGTTTGACATCACAACCCCGCAGCGGTGGGTTGGATGTCACAACCGGTATGATTCCACTTTTGAACACCGTGCGAGGAAGATGAGCAATAGTGAACTCCAGCAATCAAACAGCATCATTCATACGAGTCCAGATAGTCGTGACCTCGAACCAAAAGCAGCATTGCATCACGAGAATCACCAAATAAGAACACACCAAGAGTTCATAACTGACAATGCTGAAATAGTCCAATCATCATCAACGAAGAACCAGAGTTGATATCCTATCTGGCGCTCGGCGCCCAGACTACATATGGCAGATCCTATCTAGCCTATACTACGAAGCAGAAATATGACATCAACAGCATTCCCGAGGTATGAGCACATGGCGACCAATGGCGCACGCTTCCAGCACCAGGTATGTCTCGCGCTACACTCACAACCTCGTTCCCCAACTCACAGATGCCACTAGCACCCAGGGACCACCCTGCGCTTCACCCAGCGTACAGCAGCGCAGCTCAGCTATGGCTGCGTGCTCCTTCCCTGCTCGCCCGTGAGAGCGTAGGCGCCAGCCAGCAAATAGCGCAGCAGCAGCGCTTGCGCAGCATGCAGCCAGCACCCGAATGCCGAATGAGGAGGCAGGCCCTTCCCTATATCGAAGTGGCCTGCCCGCGTCCAGTCCAGGAACTGTCTCTTATACACATCTAGATGTGTATAAGAGACAGGTGCCCAACTGCTTTCGGCCTGTGTTTGGCCCGGTACCCGTATCCAGCCCAGGGCCTGCTTCATGCATTCACACAGGCGGCCCAGGGCCTGGGTTCACTCAACCAACTGGCGCTGCGCAACTGCCTGAATTTCCCTGAGTTGCGTGGTGGCCAGAAAAGGGCCCTGAGGGCCTCGTCGAGCCTGCCTTCACTTAGGGCGGCCGACGGGCTGCAAAAATGGGGGCCTTGTGGGGCTCTTAGAGGCAGTGGCCTCGCAGGTGTCAGCACAAAACCCGCACCACTTCGGAGGCCGCCGATTTTTTTTTACAACGGCGGGCCTGGCCACGTGGCCCCTCCAAGTTTTGCTTGTGGCGACAAAAACTTTCTGCAAGGGCACAATGATCAGTTTGATGATGATATCTGAAGGCTGTAGCCGTTTCAAAGGGGAAAAAAGAACCTCTTTTACTTCTCTTTGACTAAATCTGTGGCCCCTGTGTGTGACCGGGTTAAGCAGCGGTGGTGGGTCACGTGCCGTTGAAACTGAGTTGCGTGGATTGCAGTATCCGTGTGCTGTTCTGTGTGGTGTGTGTGCATTTGACATCACAACCCTGCAGCGGTGGGTTGAATGTCACAACCGGTATGATTCCACTTTTGAACACCGCGTCAGGGCTGTAGTGGTTAAGAGACTTGGTTCCTGTGGCTGAGGGTGCTGGTTTCGAGGCTGTGCTTGCGTGGCGGGGCCTGAAAGCCCTAAAGCAGGGATCAGTAAATCTACTGTGGTCGAGCACCCATCTTTCCTGAAGGCACAAACCGCAAATAGGAGATCCAGAGCTCTTTCGGGGCAAAAGAGAAAGGGGAAAAAAAAAAAAAAAAAAAAAAAACACCAGAGTGATTGACTGAACTAAGATGTAGGAGGCCGAGTATGCTACAAAAAGATACGATATCAGGTATTGGGCCTCGCTCCACTTGTCAGCATTCTACATGTACCTGGACTGTTGGTTTTGGCCAGGTACATTCAGACTGATCCAGCATCTTGAATGTATCCGGACTACTGCGAGGTCCAGATGCATCTAGAATGCTGTGTAGTGGAGCGAGGCTCATTATCAAGTAATATCAACTCCTTTTCCCTTTTCCAGGATTTTCAAGCGCCTGGAAAAAAGAAAAAAAAAAACAGAACAATGAGAACATAGGATATCTGATCCGTGGTCCATTAGAAAAAAAACTTAAAAAAAGTTTTAAAAACAGAAAAACAAAACAGAGCATAGGAACGAGTTGACATGTACCCATTGGGCCTCATTCCACTTCTCACCACATGCAGAAGAGACAAAAGATAAGGCGCTGTACCTTCCCATGTTCTAGCACAAGATTCATTCTCACTTTGCACATTTGGTGAGTAGTGGAGCGAGGCCCATACACTGCATCCAACTCAAGACATGG